TCTGCAAAGATTCTATCTCTAGAAAAGGTACCACACAGAGGTTCCAGGAATTAGAATCTGACTTCTTTGGAGGCCGTGCTACAAAGGGCCAAAAACTCAATCCTGGAGCCTGAGTGAGTAGCTTCGAGTAGCGCCTGGTCCAAGTTCTTAATGACCACTGACCAGTCAGTAATTAAGCAACATCTTCCCTCAACATGGCCAAGAAGACAAAGACAAGGACCCCCACCACGATAATAAACACAACTGGGCCTCTCTCAGATTCTAGTGAGGACCCTTTGCTTCCCAAGGCATTTCCCTGAAAAAAATGATTGCCCCTTTGACTCAAAGGCATAGGCTATCCGAGCCCCTGGAGAGCCATGTCTTTCTAATGAGGCAGCAAAACAAACCAAGGAAGCCATGAAGAGTACCCATAAAGGCTTACACAGAAAGATGGAGGCACTTCCTTTCTAAACTTGCCTCCTGCTCTCCAAATCATGCTGTGCAGAATCTGCCAGCCCAGCCAAGACAGGGATGGGGGGTTCTGCCTCACCCCACCCCTGCCACTCTCGCTTCCTGCCTCCAGACACATTAGGACCCCACCACTCATGCCGAGGGGCCCAACTGAGCAGGTCTTGCATTCCCACACGCCACCACGTACTCTCCTTTCCCATCCAGCCAGCTGTCCAAGTCTTGCAGCGAGTCCATCTCACCCCACGGGCCCATCCTTGTGTCCCACACAGGTCAGCCTCACCTGATGAACACAGGGTGGAGGGATGTCCCCAGGCCACACAGCCTGCCCTCTGGGAGTAGAGCTGGGTCCCACCCCTCAGGGCCACCCCTTGGACATCTCCCTGACTCCAGGTGGAAGCTCCCAGGACCTCCTCCCCTCCACACTTCACGTGCCCCAAACCATACTCCCGGGATGCCTCCTAGACAGCCTGTGTGGAGCTGGCCTGTAAGTGGACCCTCTATCCTTCCAGCTGCTCAGCCAAAACCTCAGTGCGTCCTCAGTGCCCACCCCCCGCCAACCCTAGATCCAACCTCGAGGCAAGTCCCCTCAGCTTCACTTCCAAATAAATGCCCAACTGGGCCATCCTCCCACCCCTACTGCTGCACTCTGGCCCAAGCCACCACCTCTCCCCCTGATCACCTCACAGCCTCCTAACAGGGGGCCCCATCCTGCCTTCCAGGGTCCATTCTTCCTAGATGCCAGCAGTCCTGTCTAAACCCTTGGCTCCCAGGGTTCCCATCTGAGCATCTCTGAGCACCATGAGCTCACCATCCACCTGCGTCTTCTCTTACCTGCCCCTCCTTGACACCTGAGCACACTCCTACCTCAGGGCCTTTGCACCTGCTGTCCCCTCTGCCTGGAACACTATTCCCGAAACCCAGGTTCAGATCTCATCTTTCCTCAACCAACTGCCCTTTCTCTGTGAGGCCCTCCCAGGACCCTTTCTCTGCTTCCTTTCTCTTCTTTGCACCCAGCACCTCTTCACCCCCACATCTGACTCACTGATCCCCTTTGTGGTCCATCCTCCCCAACAGCAGAAAGCTTCTCCACTGTGGCAGCCCAGTGCCTAGAGTGTGTGGAGCACAGCTCAGGAGCTCAGGGCACTGTCAAGAGTCATGGGGCCTGCAGGCTGACAGGGCTCCACGCCCCGGGGCCAGCCATGCACCCCAACACCAGAACGGGGCTGCAGGTCCATCCAAGCTCCGTGTGTGCACATGCACCACAGCACCGGGCAGATGTGGAACCCTGAGGCCTGTGCGTTCCACAAAAACGTGCCAGACACACCAGAAAGTCATTTACTGAAAGGCTCGCTTCACTGGCCCTTGCACTTGACAGCATCGCCACAGGCCCCGTCTTTTCAGAGAAAAACAGGCCTTTGTGGGATATAAATAGCCCAGCCAGATGTGAGAAGGCCTGCGGGGCTCTCCCAGCACTCGGGCCACGTGCCCCGCAGCTGCTCAAATGGTAGCCCCCATTCAGCAGATCCTCAGCGGGGCTTCCAGGGGCAGGAGAGGGTTAAACAGTGGTCCCTGCCCCCCATCAGATCAGTGGCAGGGATTCACCAAGGCCATCGCTAACTCACAGGCTCAGCACTCCAAAAATCGTGCACAGACCACAGCTGTACGTGGCAGACCAAGCCGGATGCACTGCATGTTTCTTTATCCACGAAAAACAGGGAAACCAAAGCGCAGGCAATGGGGACTCTGGATAACAGGGAGCTCGGATAAAGGGCAGCCTGATCAACAGGGCACCAGGACCACCTTTCCGGGGAGCAGCATGCTCACCAAAGCCAACTGCTCGGTTCCGTGTGCAAGAGAAACGCCATCTGAGCACAAAACCCATTTCTTGGCTGAGGCCTGGAAGGCCATGTGCAGCCTGAAGGCCCTGCACAGTCCCTGTCTGCAGAAAGGCAAACACAACTGCGCTCAGAGCTGGCTGAGCGGTATTCTCAAAGCCTGACACTTCCTCATTCTTTGAGTCCCTAGTCTGTGGGCCCAGCCTCGACCGAAGGAGAAATTCAAATGCAGAGGGCACAGTCTAGACTTGTGCCTCCCAAAGAAATACCAGGCGGGTCACACACGTGAGCCACATGTGTGATCTCAGATGACACGTGTGCCTACCAGTCACACTGAGAGTAAAGACAAACAGGTGAAGTTTGTGTTAACAACACACTTGACTGAGCCCAATACACAGCCAATCCCTCCAACACATAACTAATAAATAGAGTTGTGGACAGGACATCTGCCCGTCGCTTCCGAGTCTAAGGCCTCCCCAGGCACCGCACCGCCCGGCTCTGACCGGCCACACGTGGAGTGCTCCTCGCCCTAAGTGGTGTTGGCCACAGTGCTGGACAGTGCGGGTCCAGGTGTGGCTGCAGGTATAGAAGCCTCCACTCACTATAAAGGGACCCAACAAGATCAGAGTCGGGTGACGGCCATGGAGGGAGGTCCTGGACACAGCCCTCTGTCTACCCCGGTCCTGGCTTTTCGGAGCCCCGTCTTCAGCAGGACACAGAGGCACCAGTGCCATGCAGACTGTCTCTCACTAGAGACTGACTGGGGTGCCTCTGAGCTGGGGGGTGCTCAGGCCCCCCCATCATATTACAACAGCTTTTGGACACACACCACTCTGTGCATGCCTCTGTGTGGGTGACCTGTTGCTCCTGCAATATAATCTATACTATAAGCCTTAAAGGACACAACTGAGCTAACATCGTGCACAGATCAGCATTAGAATGAAGTGAGTCATGTATAGTTTTTACATTAACAAGTCCCTCAGGTCTAAAAGCTCAGACCACTCATTTTTGGTTACAGCAGCACCCCAGGACTCTGCACACCCTTGGGAGGTGGTCCTGGGAGCTCATCCAGGTGACAGCCTTCCAGGGCCTCAGCCGGTGGACCAAAGAGCCCTCCCAGGCCTTCTGACACACACAGGAGTAACTAACTCCCATTCCGGTGTCACCTAATTACATCTGGTCTTCCCAGCGGTCACGTACGGATATGAGAGTTGGACCATAAAGAAGTTAGAGCGACAAAAAATTGATGCCTTTGAACTGTGGTGCTGGAGAAGACTCTTGAGAGTCCCTTGAGCAACAAGGAGATCAAACCAGTCAATCTTAAAGGGAATCAAACCTCAATACTCATTGGAAGGACTGATGCTGGAGCTGAAACTCCAGTATTTTGGTCATCAGATGCGAACAGCTGACTCAGTGGAAAAGACCCTGATGCTGGGAAAGATTGACAGCAGGAGAAGAGGGAGTCAGAAGATGAGATGGCTGGATGGCATCACTGATGCAATGGACGTGAACTTGGGCAAACTTTGGGAGATGGTGAGGGACAGGAAGGCCTGCTGTGCTGCAGTTCACGGGGTCACAAAGAGTCGGACACAACTAAGCAACTGAACAACAATTACATCTACAGTTATGCCACTCTCAGCTCTGCAAGACACTGAATGCCACGTGCTGAAAATAAAAGCACACTTCTTACGGACAGGTGGCCTATGTCGCGGCTGTGGAGCCCCCTGCCTCTGAGGGCCACCCTGGTACCCAGGCAGCACTCACAGGGCATGCTTGGTAAGAATAAGACTGTGTGGTTGTTAAGCAGGCATCACCAAAACCAAAACAGTCAGAGTAATTCACTTCCTTTACCCGAGTTCTTACTAGAAGCAGGAAGGCTTTAGGAGTTTGAGTCTAAGAGAAAAAAAAATCACAGGTGAGACATAAAATTGTACCTCCAGTCAGACATCCACATGAATCTGATCCTGGGAGGCTGCAGACTCCCTCATGTCCCTCCTGTTCCATGCTCCGGGGAAGCCCCAGGCAGGTGATGTGCCCAAGGTGGGTACCCCAGCACCCCGACCATCCCACACCTTGAAGCTAGATCACCTGGTCCCCAATCTCGTGGGAGAACACACAATCTCAGTGGTCAGCTCCTCGCAGAGGCTGCCCTTGGTTCAAGCACATCCCCAAGACTTTCATCATAGAGACAGACAGGCCCAAAGCAGCAACAGAAGGACATACCTGCCCCATCTGCAAACAAGAGACCATGCACACCCCGCCAATTTCTATCTGAACCACTTCAAAGCAGCAAAGCTGATCCCGGAAATGAGTTGTTTTCTTCTCTTCAACACGGGTTCTAGAATACTTTTTAATCTTCCTAAGCTTTTCCTTTTCAATTATCTTTTGTAAACCATCTGTTTATAATGTGAAAGGTAAAGCCAGGGGGAGATTCCTAACACGGGGGTGGGGCAGTTCCCAGAGTCGGGGAGGCAGGGCTGGGCCAGAAGCCAGCCTGGGGACCAAACGCTGAAGTCTCCCTCAGAGAACAATTCCGCCAGCAGGACGGGTACCTGGAGAGGACGCGTACTTAAATGTCCTGTGTACACACTGCAAATAAAAGTTACTCCTGGAAACTCCCTCTAACGCAAGCACGTCTGGACAGACTTCTATTCCAGCTCTCTCTCCGGGACACGCACAGATGTATGCCGGTCTCAAGTGGCCGTGGCCCACCCCCTATCCCTCCAGCTCGGGGAGGGACTGACGGGGCGGGCACCCGACATTTCCACCATCCTCCTCCACGGCCATGTCCAGAGCTTCCAGCTCACAAAGTGAGCTCTCTGGAAGCTTATTCTTGGGCTGCTGGCTCCCAGCCCAAACAAATGGAAAGGCTCCCTCAGAAGCCCTCTTCTCTCCCGGCTCATTCAGAGCAAGTAAACGCGATGAAAGCCCCAAGGTGGACCCTGAGCTGAAGACGGCCCTCCAGGGCCATGGCCGGTACCAAAGGTTCAAATCCAGTTTAGGTATGACTGCCAGGGTGTGAGACTGGAGGTCCCTAAGATGTTGCCCACCTCCCCGCAGGAGAGCAGCATCAAAGACAACGATGGATGGGAAGTGAGGGGGCTCAGAGCTGGCATTCGTGCCAAGGCTGGGCAGGGACTCCACTCTGTAGCCCCAGCCCTTCCCCTCCCGCCCAGGGAAGCTGGCGCTGACCACAGACACCCCACTCCTGGGCCAGCCCCCACAGCACCCCTCCTCCTGCCCTGGTGTCTGCTGCCACAGCCTGCACGCAGACTGTGAGCCCTCCAGCAGAGCCACCTGATCCTTCTGATACCAGCTTTCCTCCTCTGCCTTCCCATCACCAGCTGGGGCCAGAAATGTAATAAACAGACGAAGCTGCTCACTGATGGGAGAAACACCTACGACCAGACCTGCTCAGGAGCCACCTCTAAAAAGAACCGCACTCGGTAGGCAGATTTCATCCCTTACCTGATGATCGGCGTTAACAAACATATCAGCAACTGGGATGCGGCTTCTTCCTACCCGCTGGGATGGCAGAGTCTGAGACAGAGAAAAGGGGACGCGTTAGCAGGCAAACCGTGAACCGGAACCCCTTACCCGCCAATCCTACACACAGACAAAATGCCATGGACACTCGATAGGCCCCCAGGGCTCAGTCATGGGGCATAGCTCACCTGGCCAGGTAAGACCAGGTAAGGTCAGCATCTGCATGAGCAAAGAGTGTCACCTGCACCCTGATTCCATCCATGCCACCCTCCTTGGCCTCATGAGCACTTAGCAAGAGCTCCTGGAGGTACAAAAGGAGTGGGGGCGGGTCAGGCCTTGCCAGCAATGGTGTGAGTGCTAGCAGAGTAGAATTAACAAGGCTTCCAAATGGGTCCCTAATGTAGAATTGTATAGTAAGAAACTGTGGGTGAGTTCAAGATCAGTATGTCAACAGTGTTTACATTTTCATTTTTAAAAAAGAATTTAACAATGTTTAAATTGTTTAATGTTTAATGTTAAACATGGCTTAACAATGTTTAAATCAGCAGGGAAGCCTGGCGTGCTTCAGTCCATGGCGTCACAAAGAGTTGGACATGACTGAGCGACTGAGCTGAACTGAACTGAAGTTTTAAAATGAGTTATGGATGTAAAAGGGTTTCCCTGGTAGCTCAGCTGGTAAAGAATCTGCCTGCAACGCAGGAGAACCCGGTTCAATTCCTGGGCTGGGGAAGATCCCCTGGAAGAGGGCATGGCAACCCACTCCAGTGTTCTTGCCTGGAGAATCCCCATGGACAGAGGAGCCTGGAAGACTACAGTCCATGAGGTCGCAAAGAGTCGATACAACTGAGTGACTAAGCACACGTGTATGTAAAAACCAAAATCAGAAAAAAAGAAAAGAGGGGAGGAAGAGGGGGAGAGTCAAAATGAGAAAAAAGAAAGGAAGAAACCAAAACAGCTCTGGAATTTGTGAGACTGAAGAAAGGAATAGGCCACCCACTCCAATATTCTTGTCTGGAGACTATAGCTTCACATTACGGCTTCCCTGGTGGCTCAGATGGTAAAAGAATCTGCTTCAGTGCAGGAGACCTAGGTTCGATCCCTGGGTTGGAAAGATCCCATGGAGGAGGAAATGGCACCGTACTCCAGTATTCTTGCCTGGAGAATCCCATGGACAGAGGAGACTGGTGGGGTACAGTCCATGGGGTTGCAAAGAGCTGAACATGACTCAGTGACTAACACTTTCACTTTAATAACCTTAAAAACAGGGTGGGCCTACTTTAACTGTCTCCCAGTCAGAGCTGAGGAGGAGTGAGATGCTGAGGAGGCCCTTTGCAGGCGCGCCTTCCTTCCACAACCTCAACCCCGCTGACCAAGCCCGACGATGCAGCTGGCGGACCCGACACTGTAGACGGTCAGTGCCCCCTCACCTGGCCCTCTGTCCCCAGAGCCACTCCTGTGTGCGGCAGGCCCTACCAGTCCATCACAGCCCAGTTCAGATTTGCCTCCCCTGGAAGCAGGTCCCCGTGGGAAAGGCCTGGGCGGGGCAGGCTGAGGTTTCAGGGCCCAGGTGGTTGCAGCACGGAATCCAAGCAGCCACCGTCTGCCACCACCACAGACCATGCCCTGCAGAGCTCTGCCTGGCAGACTTGATTGCACATGGCCCTGCGATCAGCAGGTAGACAGTCCCGTCCATCTGTGATGCAGGAAGGGCTCACCGCATAGGACTCAGACAAGATGGAAGCCACGTTCACCTGAAACCAGGTGAAACACAGGCACCCCCAATTCCATTCTGGGCCTCGTCTAGGATGGGCTGAACGGTCATCCCCACAGATCAACCGGAACGAAACACTTGTCACCTGACTCTGCTTCAGCTTCTCTTCTTCCCCCAGGCCTCCCTCGACCCACAGCCAGGCTGAGCCCTCAGACAGCCCCACTGAGAACAGGCCGGCCTTGGGGGACACATCCTCCAATCTACCACCCCTCACTCTTCATCCCACTGCCCCACACCTGGGTCTTACAGACTGTCTAACACCTCCCTACAAAGGAAAAACCCAGAGTGCCTGATCCCTGATGTGCCTGCCATGGTCACACAACTCTCCACGGCAACATCTGTCTCCACACATCTCTCTCCCTCCCTGGGTCCCCACAATAATCCTTTCAAATAAAGACTCTTACTAAGCCTGGCTTTGATTTTCTTTCGACCACTGATTACAAATGACCTGAAGCCCAAAAACACGTGGATCTGACAGACAGGTGAGACCTCTGATTTCTACCTTCCTAAAGAATCTCAGGGTTCCCTAAGGTCTCACTAGTTCTGGCTCAAAGTACAGACAGGGACTGGTTCGAGAACCAGCTCAGAAGCGTGTCTGAGACCTTAAGCCACAGATGCTTCTGGGGGCTAGTGAGCAAGAGAAACAGGGGGAAGCGACATCAAGGAAAATCAGACCACTCACGCATGTCCAGTGTCCCGTTCACTACGGAAACTCTACACTTCCTTGGAAACATCACACACAGCACACAGGGAACTTCCCTGGTGATCCAGTGGCTAAGACTGTGCTCCCAATGCAGGGCGCCCAGGTTCGATCCCTGCTCAGGGAACTAGATCCCACATGCCACAACTAAGAATTCACGTGCTGCAACTTAATATCCTGCATGCTGCAACTTAGACCAGGCACAGACAAACACACGAATAAAATGTTAACAAACAGACAAAAAACAATCACAGCACATGGAACCTTTTGCTTAAGCTGATACCCCTCCAGGAGGTGGGCAGGTCTCCATGGGGCCATCCAAAGCATAATACATAGTGAATCCAGTCCCCCTGCTCCCCACACCCCTGCAGGTAGAGAAGTTCTGGGTGGGGAACACTTCCACCGCCAACAAATGCTTTACTCGCATTCTCCCAGCAGGGGGTGAAGGGGTAGCGGGTGGGGCTCACTGGGGAACCTTCACTGATCGACTGAACAGGCAAGATTCTCTTTCAGTCAGCAAAGAATCTGCCTGCAATGCAGGAGACCTGGGTTCAGTTCCTGGGTCAAGAAGATCCCCTGAGGAATGGCAACCCATTCAGTATTCTTTCCTGGAGAATCCCATGGACAGAGAAGCCTGGCAGGTTACAGTCCATGGGGTCACAAGAGTCAGACACCACTTGGTGACTAACCACCGCCACCACTCTTTCTAAATATGCTGCTACCAAATGTGTGAAAGGAAATGTTCATCTCACCGCTGATCAGAAAAATACAGATTAACACAAGATGCCATTCTCCCCCTACAGAAGTAACAAAGAAAAAAAAAGATAAGGTTCAGAGGTGGTGAGGAGGTGTGGGCCCCTTCCCACAGTCAACAGGAAGTCTTTTCTAGAAGCAACATCCGGAACCTTACAAATCAATGCTAGCTACAGGTAACAATGTTCTCATCTTGTATTCACACACAGAAGTTCTCATCTAGCAGCCTCTTGATAGCAATAAAAACAGAAAACATCCCCAAAGAGAGGATTAAATGAGTATCTAAAGGACCAGCTTGGCGCCAAAGTGTGGGTATGGTCTTTCTAGACTGCTGTGGTTTCGAGTCACACCTCCTCAGCGAACCCAGGAGGCAACGGGGACACCCACTGCCCTACCTGAGGCATGTCAACACAGGAGAAAAGCCGTCAAAATAAACTTCTGAAAGTTGCATCCATCTGAGTTCTGTTCCCACCCCAGAGAGCAGCATATGGATAGAAAACCACGGTGCACAAACCACGGAGAAATTCCTGGGATCCGCGTGTGTTTCTTCAGTAACAAATGAAATAATGAATCAGATCTAACAGAAGGGAAGGATGCGTTTTGGCAAACCGATTTTCCTAGCAGCTGATTAAACTAGGTTTGGGTTTTAGGAAGGGAAGCTCTCAGGCTTTGCTGAGATCCAGACTGCAGAGCTCAGTGCTGACATCATATTTCCCAGCAGTTGATTAAATTAGGTTTGGGTTTTAGGAAGGGAAGCTCTCAAGCTTTGCTGAGCTCCAAACTGCAGAGCTCGGTGCTGACATCACACACACACTCCACCCAGGCAGGGATGGTCTCTGCGGAGCCAGAGGCAAGTGCTTAGGAAACGCTCCCCACCACTGTACTGCAAATTCTGGAAGCTTGATTTCTCATGAACGCAGATGTTGGGACATCCCACTAACTTCCCTCCTAAACTTAGATACGGAACCATAATTCCTCATAGAAACATCATTAGCCATGCGTTGTTTTTTTTTTTCTTTTATGATAGAAAACTCATAATTTAGTTGATGCAGAGAAGTGGGGACTCCAAGGGAAGGGGAGACCCCATGCTCTCCCCTGGTGACAACACCGATGTGAGTGGCAACAAACAGCCATCTGACCAGACACGGAGATGTTGTTGCCTTGGGATAACTTATGTAATATGAGAGCTGTGTTTTCTTTACAAAACAGAATTTTTTGGTACAGTGATGCAATGCCTTAAATCTGAAAGAGTGAAAATGCCCCAAAGTATCAGTTAACAGAAAACAACAAATGCCTATCACTTACAAACAAGTCAACGATATAGGTTATATATCTCTTTGATCTCAAAATCATATAATTGGATGCTTTTGATTATGAGATTAAAATATGGAAAAGATGAGCACCAAAAAAACAACAACAACAACAAAACAAGCCAACAATAACTTCAGTGGAGAGCCATCCTTGGCCATTTACAAAAGCACCAACAGCCTGCCCTGAGTTGGAAATCTTGAGCTCACACCAGCCGACTTGAGTCTAACAATCCAGCCCCCTCTAAGGACAGGAGTTTGTCTTTGTTCAACAGAACTACTCCGGGGCTTCCCACAATTAAGTCTTGACCTTCCCCTTTCTGCTTAAGGTCACAACTACCTGCTTACCGTGGTTGGCTTTGGACAGCAGGGACAGGCCCC